TTTACAGTTATGCGCACACGGCAGAACTACAGGTCTTGCCCTTGCAACAAAGATGCTTGGCCGTCTTCAAATAGGCTTGTTTTGCCTCAAGGGACCTATAGACGGTTCGCTGCTGTATCTAATAGAGCAATTTGCATATGGCATTGTGGTTGAAAACAACTACAAACAAATAACTTGTGTTGGAAATTTTGGACGAGTTGGTGAAAAAGCCTGCAAAGAAAATATTCGCATAGGTTTCAAAAAGACGATGGTCATGTCCTATTCCATTTAAAGCAACAACACGGTCTCTAATGACGAAAAAAGAGTAAAAGAAGATAAGAGAGTGAAAGGGTAATCCGGAAGATCTGGCGAGGGAAGACGAACAAAGTATCATAACAAAAACAAAAACAACGCTCGATCTCTTCCTAGGCCTTTTGTTCCGGGCGCCACGCCAGAGGAGGAACTTTCGTAGGGAGCATGTTCTTGCCGAGTCCTCGGCCCTCCCGAGCTCGTCAAAGAGGACGGCATGACATAAGCGCTTTGGAGGTGGGCTGCTCCCCCATACCCCCATCTCAACCCGACCTGCCTTCGAGAAGCAATTCGATCATTCCAGCCTCCCCCCTCAGACCAGTCCATGCCATCCCCGCTGCCCATACCACCTTCGTAGTCCCCTTGATTAAGATTGTCTGTCCATCGACAGCCCGGCGGCAGTCCTCGCCGTGCCCTGCACCTCGCCGAAGCGGCCGACGCAATAGCTCTGCCTCATCTACGGCGGCGGAAGTAGTCGCGTCAACCTCGACCGTCGCTCGGAAGGCCCTCGCGATACAAGCCGAAGGTAGACACAAATTCGATCCGTGCCAAGAAAATCCGAACCTGCGCCAGCTCGATCGACCAGCCTGCGCCCTGCCTTGTGTGTCTATGTGTGTGGGGGGTGTGTCCAAGGCAGCATGCTGATAAAAAAAAATAGTAGACCAACGGGGGTGGAGGGAGTAAAGGCCATCAGCAGTACTGCCAACGAGGTGCGAGTAAAAATAAAAATATGTGAGCAGAGTGGGATTCGAACCCACGCCTACGAATAGACTGGAGCCTTAGTCCAGCGCCTTAGACCAACTCGGCCATCTGCCCATATGAGGGGACAATTTTATTTAGTATATATATAGTATTATAACTCATGCAAACTTTCTGCATTTGCCTTCCATGCAAATACCCCGTACATTTACGTCCTCGAGCTTCACCTTAATCCTACTTAATAATCTTTTCATCCCTCTTCCCTATTTCTCATCCCTCTCTGTTGAAGACCCATGAACTTCGCTTTCCCGAGAATGACGGAAGCCACCCCCCTATCGCAGCTAACCTCCGACAATCTGGCACGGTGTGCGCCAGGTGCGCCATGGGTCCCTGCTATCATTTCTGTCCCAATTTCATCTCAGTCCAACAGTGCGGGGAAGAACTTCCATCGACTTCGCCCCACCCTCCAGTTTTACTTGAATAAACCCTCGTAATCCCCTCAAGTCTGTTGTGTAACTTTCTGTTACGTCGTCCTGGTTTCCTACAAGTTCGCCTTCTCTCTTTGCGCAGACTGGACCTTCGGGGCGATCCTGGGTCCCGTCCAAGTAACAGACACGTCCATCTTTTACAATACATTTGTGGCTGTTTGATTGCGTTTCGCCGGCAAAACAACACAGTCGCCGCAACGATACCCTAGGCGCTTCTGCTCGATGGCGGCACTGTTGCCGCTGTGGTCGCCGTGGCCCAGATGAAGACGCCGGAGACACCGCCCAAGCGGAGTCGTTCCCGTGCTTGACCGGCGGAGGCATCAAATCGTTTTCCCTCTGCCAAACTGTTTGAGGGCCGATGTTCGCCATTGCAGGTTGATGGACCGAATCTTAGGACGAGAGGCACGAATGGAAGTAGCAGCAGCAGTAGCAGTAGGAACAGGGGCGGAGTGAGGGAACCAAAAGTACGATGTATTCTGACACACCACTTTGCGATCCATATGAAACGCCTTACCCTTTCGTTCCAGGTGCAGTTGGTTCCCTGGGTTCACCCACACAGGATGAACCATTGTGTTTGATGTTCATCACAAGCTCTCGCCAATGAACACCCAAACATCTCGTTATCGCCTTTTCCCATGGCTGCCAATAGCCGCAACACCAACCATCCACATTTTTGTCCTCTAGGGTTTTAAACTTCCCCCTGCCGCCGTGGTCCTACTTTTGATGTAAATGTCAGCACCTCAATCTGGAATCACTCCGGAAATAAATTCCCACTGAAACGCTCACGGACAATGAACGCTGACCAAGCGCAGAACGCGGCGATGCTACCGTTGGTGGCGGGACTGCTCGCCTACGTTACGCGCAAGTGCATTGCCAGCCGCTCCGCCTTCAACTTGACCTGCTTGGCGTCCTGTGTGTTCCTGGCCGTGAAAGTAGCCGTGATCGTCACGTACAACTGGGTGCTATGGTTACCAGCGTGGACGCTGTTCACCGCCATCTTCATCCCGCGGGGCGTGTCGCTTATCCTCACCTACTACCTCTACGAGCTGCGGCTGTCGGTCTTCTTCCTTACTGGCGTTGCAGCCTTCCGGGCCGTGATGCGCTCGCTGCTGGCCGCGTACGTTGCCGCGACCGTCGCCCTTGTCGTTGCGCACGGCCTGACAGCCTTCAACACGCCGCAGGGCCGCTATACAGTCGCCGGCACCCCAGCCTTCGCCACCAAGGTGCTGGTTTACCTGCTCGACAGCGTGATCGGGTTCGTCGTGTTCTGCGGCACGGTGGTGTCGCTCGGGCGGCTGCTCGCGCACGCGCGCGTCGTGTCCGCCGGTACCGGCAAGGCCGGTCGCAGCAGCGATCATGGCAGCCCTCTGGCGCAACGCGCGACGCTGTACCGCGTGCTGCTATTCTCGGACGCGGCGCGGTTCCTGTTTATCCAGGGCATCGATATATACCTAATGGTGACGTCGACTGACCCGAGCGGACGCTCGGGCGCACTGCCAGACGGCAACGTTGGATTCATCAACGTCGTTGACACTGCGCGCGCCGCCGTGCTGGTGCTGAATCTGTACCTGCCGTCTGGGATCGCGGCGCTGATGGACACGGAAGAGGTGGGTGGGACAGGCAGCGCAGGTGGCGTCGATGGCGGTGGCGCCACGAGCAGCGCGGTCATTGGACGGGGCGGGATCTGGTCGGGTACGGCATTCCTGCCGGCGGGACGAGGGGGCTCGGGGCAGGTGTGAACACCCACGTCGGTTGAACGAAGCTCGACACGCGCGGCAGCTGAGGCGCCTCCAAGGCAGGGGCGGTACTTTTGTTGGCGAGGGGACCACCGCGTCTGGGCTGGGTTCGGGCAGCTCGACCCCTACTTATTTGCTGTCGGGGTTGCCAAGCCTTTAGAGCTTCTTTTCCAACATTCGGCGCCCCCAACTTTGAGGCTCTTTTGCTCTGGGTTGTAGGACACACAGCCCGCCACTAGTTGTAAATATCTTCGAGGTTTGGCGGCTTAACAACTCTCTATCTAACAATAAATCCGGCATATTTCCGACCGGGTCAGAACGTGGAAAAGCCGTTTGTTTGCAATGCCGTTGTCCTTATGGAAACCTTTCTTGGTGTGATGTCCACACGCTTAGCGTCAAATTCCATCAAATATCTAGCAATATAAAAAAAATTGTCATCGTTAATGAACCCAGATCTCGCACAGACCTACGGCGTCCTGGCGTTGACGTCAACGCTGCTGGCGTACGTCTCTCGCAAGTGTTTAGTCAGCCGCTCTTCGTTTAATTTGATCTGCCTCGCTTCATGCCTGCTACTCGTGGCGAAGTCTTCTATTACCATCGTTTACTACTATGTGTTCTGGCTTCCTGCCTGGACCCGGTATTTTCTGATCTACGGGATGCGAGGCATCTCCCTCGTTCTGCTGTACCACCTCTATGAACGCCGGCTGTTTGTCTTTTTCCTTCAAGGTGCCGGCATATTCCGCGTCACGATGTGGATTCTCCTTTCTATGCACTTGGCCTCTACCGTCGCTGTTGTGACTGCTTTGGCCTGTGGCGCTTCCAACACTCCAACTGGCGGCTACACGACTTCGGGAACACCCGGGTTCGCGACAAAGTTGGTTACATTCTTAATGGATGTTGTGATGAGTTTAGTTCTTTTTTTCGGCACAGCAGTATCACTGAGTCGCCTGCTGGCGCACACGCGCGCCGCCGTCGCAGCCATCGCAGCCACGTCTCCATCAGGAGCCAGCGGTGTCCACCACAGCACAAGCAGCCCGGCCGCGCAACGCGCCACGCTGTATCGAGTGCTAGTATACTCCGATGCAACACGGTTGCTGTTTGTCCTAGCCATCGACGTGTACCTTATGATCACGTCGACGGACCCGAGCGGCCGAGCTGGCGCGCTCCCGGCTGGCAACGTCGGATTCAGCGGGCTAATTGACAATTTTCGCTCGGTTATACTTGTGCTCAACCTCTATGCGCCGTCTGGTATTGCTGCGCTGGTGGATCAAGCCAGGGACGACGGAGTTGCTGACGAAGTCGGGGATGACTTCGATGAGGAGAAAAACCGCTGGTCAAGCACTCCATCGTCGTTCTTAATGGAGAAGTCGGCCGCGGCAAGGGGAAGTCTTGGCCCGATAGCTGCCCCAAATATGCTGGCTCCGTCGCGGTTCGTCAGAAGTACGACGACACGGGAGAGCTCCAACCTAGATGGCAGCGGATTGGAAGCGAGCACAGGCGCGATTTGAGGAACTATGTTTCCGCGTCCTTGTGAAAAAAAAAATTGTGGTTTTTTGGTCTGAAGCAATGCAGTCAGGTGCTTCGGTGCGTTCTTTGCCTTTCGGATCCACTTTGTTCATGGTGAGCGAATTTCAAGTATCGACTTCACGAAGTCAGATCGAAATGCACTAGGGAGGAGACAGGGAGAGGAGGGTGGAAGGAAGCACAAAAGGGCAGACGCCCATTCTTACCAAACGCGAGCAGCCAAATATTAAAAAATCAGATATACTATACAATGTTACCGACAACAGCACAGATGGCCGAGTTGGTCTAAGGCGCCGCACTCAAGTTGCGGTCATGAAAATGGCGTGGGTTCGAATCCCACTCTGTGCAAAATCAATTTTTTTCAACTTCGGTTGATATCTTTTCCTCGTAGCCTGCCAGGTACAGCTATCGACGTATGAGTACTATAATGGTTCAGAAGAATTGAGTCTGATGCTCGGATAGCACAGGTGCCTGCGTCGATAGGTGGCCCCAATGAATGATGTCCGCCAAAACAATTTGGCAGAGTGAATATCCACATTTTCCTAAGGCGGAGTGGGGGGGGGGGCAGCCATATCGGGTAGCTGTGTCGAACTCACTCAGTTCAGAATACACCGAGCCAATGGCTTGCGCAAATTCAAAATAATGAGTCGCTGTCGAAGCCGGCCGACCACCCCGCTCCAGACGTTACCTCCTTCCCAATACAGCAGTCGGGCGAACCAATTCATGTCATTTACAAAGATGTGATCTTTTTTATTCTTACGGGCCAAAGGGGCAAAAGAGGTACAGCTCGGGTTTTGTGGAGAGGGTGGCGTGGACCAGTCTGTTATTCAAGAGGTTCTGTTCAAGAAGAGGCTCAATGTAGTGGCAAACGTAGGCTCTAATCTCTGGTGCTTCATCACGAAGAAGAGAAAATGGACAGTAAAAGAAAGACAGGGTGGGGGATGGGAAAATTAGCGTGTGAATTGTAAGCTCGTAGGAATACTCTTCACGAAAGGTGGTTCATGGCTAGCTCGGCAGCGAACGGCTTTCCTTGGCTGATGTAGTCCAATAGTACGGCTTTTGGTGCGCGACCGTAGAGGCCCTCGCACACCTGCGCCTGGGCCAGGATGCTGCTCTCACTGTTGGTCGTGGACGCGGCGATGGAGTCGGGGATCAAAATGCTGAGGATGTCGACATCGAGGAAGTGGTTGACGATGTACATGCGGCCCGAAGCGGAGGCGCCGGACGGGCGATCGATGGCGCAAGCGGCAAAGGCAGAGGTAGATGTCACATCATATGGCGTTTCAAAAAAGTAGGTGAATTCAGGCAGAAGGTAGGCGACCTCGGACGTGTTCGCATCGTAATCCAAAAACACGACCAGGCGCTTTCCAGCGTTGATCAGAGCTTGCAGCGTGGGCCACTCTGACAGTGCCAAAGTTCCCGAAGGGGCGTAGGCATACGAGTTCAGGCCAGCAGCTTCGAAAGCGGTAGCAAACACAGTGGGCGAAAGAAAGTCGCCGTTAACCAGCAGCAGCGTCAGAACCTCGTTGGTGTTCGCGTCAAGCCAGGTCTTGATTGTGGTCAGGTAAGCCTTGAGGGTGCCAGCGTTAAGCTCAATGCACGAGGTGTGACACATGGACAGCACACCAGACGAGTCGAGGTGGGTCTGTGCCTGCAGGAAGCGTACGCCGAGGTCGAGCTGCTTGGTAACGGAGACGAACTGGTTCTCTGTGGGCAAAATACCGACGAAAGCACTGTCGTGGGCGGCAACCTGGGTGACGTTGCTGTAGATGCGCGAGCAGTACTCGACGCGGCCATTGCAGGCGCCGGTCGAAGCATCGGAGCTAACGGTGGTGGAAGACGACGAACCGCCGGGCAGCGGTGCAGGCACCGCGCGAGCACCACCCACGGCGGTGGCAGCGACGGTCACGATGGCGGCGAGGAGACTGGAGAAGCGCATGTCTACGATGAGTTGGTAGTATTGCCACGTGTGGCGGCGGTCTGTGCGACAGTGCTTTTTCGGAGGAATGTTTGCCCTTAAGGAGCGAGTGTCTCAAAATGTATATAATATGTATTTTATAGTTGTAAAAATTACTCTGTCATATGGGCAGATGGCCGAGTGGTCTAAGGCGCTGGATTTAGGCTCCAGTCTATTCGTAGGCGTGGGTTCAAATCCCACTCTGCTCACTTTTTCATATCTACTTCCTCGGTCGCTGTCTGTCGTCAATAAGTCGGGCCAACTTACCCGATATTTTGCATTTCAACTCAGTATCCTCTTTGGGTCTTGAGGGCTGCAATTCTTGATGACAGTGACATCTGACAGAGCACAACGGAGCCGTTTTCAATAACACGACGGACTATTTAGCAGTAAGGTCAGGGTCAACACTGGTGTTGGAGTGAAGATCACGGAGGACCCCGCCAGCGGCCTTTCGGTAGCGTTGGAGGAATGCAGGGAGTCGCTGCAAGAACCGCATTCCGATAATTACTGGCTGATGCTACAGCGAACGCCAGGCGGCGGCCGCTGAAGCTAAGGAGCGGCTGTATCATCAGCACAGCGCGAGGGAAAGTGCGCCATGTGTTTTACTGTGTGCGGAGACGAACGGAATCGGATGTATGGTTAATAAGGGATGTGATTACGCAGAAGGAGAGGAGGAAAGGAGGAAGAGGTTGGGTCCTTTTCTTCCAATGGCCAAGGGTCGTCGCAAAGAATCAATAGCTCGCTTGTTCAGTCAAAATCTTGATACAACCTGCTCCAGTGGCTCGGAATGGGGAAGGGGCGGCGGTGGGGTGGTTTGGATGGAGTGAAGGAGCGGGGTTGACCGGTTGATCACGATGCCAGCAAGCACTCTCACTCTACTTCGACCACTACGATGCCGCCTCCGCCGCCGGTGCCCGTCCCCTTCTCCTCACCACCGTCCGCCGACGCCGCCGCCTGGAGCCACCGCACTCCGCCCGCCGCATGCAGCCGGCGTGGCGCCACCCACCCTTCGCGCACCCAGTCGCGCGGCGCGTCCGCCTTGCCGCGCCACCACGCACCGCGCCGCCGCTCCGCCGCCTCTGCCGCCGCCTGCCATCCGCCACTACCTCCGGCGACTTCGCCAGCCACGCCGCCTTCTGGCCGCACCGCCCACCCGACTTCTTCGAGGTGTGCCGCCACGCGGAACGTGCCGCGCCACGGGAAGCACAGCCGCACCGCGTGCGTCACGGCCTCCTCTCCCGCTTCGCCGGCGCCGCCACTGCCGTCGACCGCCGGATGGCGTGGCGGCAGCGGCTTTAACGCAGTCGACAGCGTGCCTGCGTGCAATACCGGCCCGGCGTACTGCTGGGTGTCGGCCGCCGCCGCCGCCAGCATTTGCTGCACCGGCGAGTTCGCCGTTTGCTGCCGTCGCTCCAGGTCGGCTCCACCGTCCGTTTCGCGCGAGCGCCGCGCACTTTCGAACACGCCGCGAAGCCCGCCGACGCTCTCGCCGTCGACCGAAGGCGGTGCAGCTGTGAGATCACGGTGCAGCCCCGTGTGCAGCTGTTGCACAGGTTCCATCCGGAAACACGCATGGATGGGTTCGTCTGTAACAACGCCAAGTTCAGCAGGGAGCGGGTGATGGGGGGAGGGAGGTGGGGTAGGATGGAAACCGAACAACCACACTCGCCTGTCCTGTTCCGTAAGATCCACTCGAGCTGGACCACTTGGCCCGCGCGCACCTTCCAACGTGACGGCCCGACCGGCTCCAAGATGCCGTCTTTATCTTCAGCTGCGCCCGTGTCTGCCGCGCCTCCGCTTTTCTTCGCCGCCAGCGCGCGCACCCTCACCTCGGCCGTCACTGACTCGGCCATCAGCTCGCTAGCCAGCTCCTCGTCCAGCAGGCGCGTCGCCGCAAGCTCTGCCGGCGCTGCGGCCGACTCGAGGCGCAGCGCGTCGCGCAACGCGGCCGTCAGTCCGCCAGCTCGCCCGCGCCCGGCCGCCCACGCCGCGTCGACTCGTCCGCCACTCCACGCCGCCGCCGCGCGGCCGGCAGCCCACGCTCGCTGCCTTTCGTCGTCGCGCTGCTCCCGCTCCTGCACGCGTAGCCGCTCCGCCTCGCCAAACAGGCCCGCGCCGCGCCGCAACCCGTGCGCGAGGAGCCAGGACGCCGTGATGACATCATCGCCGCCCTCGTCCGAGAGCGAGCGCGCCATCCCGCCAAAGAGCGCCTCACGTAACCAGAACGCGAGGCGCCGCTGTTGGTCGGCCTCGGCGTTCTCAGGTCGCCGCAGCCGGCTTTGCACGACCTGTCTGTCTCGCGGCATGGGGATCGGCTGCACCGTCAGTGAGGTTGGCAGCTCCAACCGTCTGACTGGAAGGATGATCCTGATCAAAAGAGGTGGGTTTATTTTGGTCGATGGAGGACATACTGTACCTTTTGGTCATGTTAGCTTGCAGAAGCGTCGCGAGGGTGGTATTAGCATCGTCTCCTGGATAGAGACGTTACACAAAAGCAAACACACATCCTTTGAATGTACCGTTGGAATCGCCGTAGGATCTGAACGTCACCTCGAACGGCAAGTTCCATGAGTTGCGCACATCAAACGTTAGGAGGCACCAGTCATTTCCATCTAGTCCAGCTGCATATTCTGCTGTTGCCAGGTTTGAGCCCACGCCGTCCGTCTCCGCCAGCAGCCCAGGCGTCGCACCGGCCTCTGCTATCATGTCGGCCACCGACAGAGCTCGGCTGGCATCCTTCAACACGGGTCCTGGCGGAGATTTTGTGGCTATTTTTTGGTCGGAGATGGTTGTACCCTTCGTCAAGAAGGGAAGTGGGGGCAGTGACAAAACGCTCAGGTTCAAAACCTCGAGTGCTTTCTGAACAGTCATCACTATGGGAATGACTAGTTGCCGTGTGAAAAAGGCACCGTCAGCATGCGCCTCCGTGTTTTCCGGCATGATGGATTCCGGAACATGGCCGTACTCGACGACAATATCGCATCCATTGCTAGTTGAGGCAAGAATCAGCGTCGGTATACCGCACCGCCAACCGATCTAAACTCACCACCAGCGCTTTCCAAAGCAGTTGACACGGAGGGACAGACGGCCGCCTTGTACCACTATCTCGTCAAGCTTTGTCGGGCGCCCAGGATACGGTGAGATGGGAAAGCCGAGAGCCCGCCCGCCAGCCCCAGCGCCGGGTTCCGCGAGGACGAATGCGGCAGTGTAGCGTCCCAGCACGTCCCGCTCGAACATATCCTCGGGCGTCTCCGAGAAGGAGTCGGAGGCGGGAGGCGGCGCAGGAGCGTCGGGTGACGCACGTTCTTTAAAAGACACGAGAATGTGGTTGGCGGGCGCAGTACCGGCATTCTCCAGCTCAATTGTAAAGCTTGTACTGGATAGTTCATGT